CCCAAATGTCCTTAAACCGACTCAACCGTGACTTCCGATGCCAGACTCATGCAAAAAATGCAGTCACTTCGGATTCTACTTGTGGCGATACCCACTTCGACTGTTCCTTTGGCTCACTGATCCGACGGGCTTTATCCCTTTATGGGTCTTCATCTTGTCTACGTGGCAATCTTTGGTTGGTCCCGGACTTCTGGTGCGGGATCCGACATCAACACCGACCAGCTGACCCAGATAGACTATCACTCGACCAGCTAACCTTCACTCCGTCCAGCCTAGGTGAGTTACCAAGCAACTGGTCCAGCTAGTCGAGCTGGTTAGCTCGACACTTCTAGCTCATTTCAGCTTGTTACGCACTTCGGAAGTCATTCTATCCGCTTTCACATTTTTGGAAAGTGATCCACTATATAAAATTAAAATATTAAAAATATAATTAGAAAAAATAAAACGTAATTAATCTACTCAATCTAACCTTTTAATATTTTAGAATTGTTTTACGGAAATCTTTACCAAATTAGTTTTTTCAGCTTTTGATTATTTAGTTATTTTGCTGATTTGACAAACAAGTCTGACTGTTGAAAGGCTCAATATATCGCAAAATGATACAAATATATATTTACAAAATCAAATTAGATGGCTATATCTTGGGATCCAAAATAATTGATTTCATCGTGATCCTAAAAGTTTTACTCATTTTTTAACCAAGAAAACGTAAAGCACAATAAAATTAAATTGTATAGTTCAGTTAAAATTTCCTTTTCAACAATAATTTTGAAACTTTAGTCTTCAATTAAGCCATACGTACTCAAAAACTACCTTGTATAAATTATCAAAAGAAAAAGAAAATTTCAATGTATGTTTAAATATATCACATAAACGTAGTATCGTTGTCATTTTGTTGCCAGTGGTTATGTGCTAGTGATTTGTACTACCTACGTATGTTGTTGCGTCAACTTAAATCCATATAGTGACTAGTTAGCAAAAGAAAACTCGTTTTCAAATTTATAACATCACATTTATTTATTATAATATTCGGTTATGTGGATGGAGTATTGTATACTAAATAGTCAACTTTGTAGATTAAAATAATAATAATAATAATTATCATAAAGTGTTGTTTCCACGAAGTTACTCCATCTACTAAATCAACAAGTTAGCAAATCATCAACTTTGTCTTCATAAAGAAATAATCAAATTCGTCTTTATAAGCAAACACTCAAACTCGAGAAATTAGGTAGAACAAATGGAAGATAATCGCCAGAGAAGAGTGTTGATGGTCCCAGCTCCGTTCCAAGGCCATTTACCTTCGATGATGAACTTAGCCTCATGTCTTTCTTCCCAAGGCTTTTCAATCACAATCGTTCGAACCAAATTCAATTTCAAAGATATCTCCGCTAACTTCCCTAATTTCAAGTTCTTCACCATCGACGACGGCTTGTCAGAATCCGACGTGAAGTCTCTCGGGCTCCTTGAATTTGTCCTGGAGCTTAACTCTGTCTGTGAACCCCTATTGAAAGAGTTTCTAACCAATCATTATGATGTTGTTGACTTTATCATTTATGATGAATTCGTTTACTTCCCTCGACGTGTTGCGGAAGATCTGAATCTGCCAAAGATGGTCTTTAGCCCTTCTTCCGCGGCTACTTCGATCAGCCGGTGTGTGCTTATCGAGAACCAAGCAAATGGGTTACTTCCTCCACAAGGTACCATCCTTACTTTTCTTTTTTCTTTTTTATGAAAAAATATAAGGTTTTATGCAAAACAACCCTCTAATCAATTTCGTTTGCAAGTTCATCCTCCAAATCTGAATTATGCAAGTCAACCCCACAATCTCAAAAGTCACCCGCAATACAGCCCTCCCGTGTAACCAATTTGAGGCTCGAGATGCATGATACTCCTACATACTACATCACATAAAATAAGTAGATTGTCACGTTATCGATACACGGATGGGCTATATTGTAGGTGATTTTTGAGATTGTGGTTTGATTTGCATTTATTTGACAAGGAGGTTTGTTTTGCAAAAAAAAAATTACATAGATGGTTTTTCTGCAAAAACTCCTTAATGTTTTCAAACGGAGTTATCGGGTGTCATGTCATCGCTACATGGAAGAACTGTATTGCGGTTGGCTTTTGAGATTGTGGGGTTGACTTGAATAATTCAGACTTGGAAGATAAACTTGCAAACAAAATTGACTTAGAAAGTTGTTTTGCAGAAAACCCAAAAATATATAACACTGATATGAGATTCCAATCATACATAGGATAAATAATTATCCTTACTTTGCTCTTCAACTAGCGTAGTCAGGGGCGGACCCATCTGGAAGAAAGGTGGTATAAATGAATTGAGATTATTCCCTTTGTGAAAACAACATCGACAACTTTAAATTTAAGATTAATTATTTTTAATAGCATATTGGAGTAATATTTTTAAAATGATACATATGTACACTTTTTGTAGCTAAAAGTTTATTTGGCTTATTATATTTTCATTATCATTGATAAAATTGAAAACGATACTATATATATGTTGGTGCAGTTCGAAAGCAATAATTGTGTTTAGAACTTTCACAATTTGTTGGTGCAGTTCGGAGATAGAATACCATAAATGTTTAAAATGATAAAAAGAAAGCTACATATAAACAAAAATTCAATCTAAGTAAAGAAAACGAAAACACTAAAATCATACATAGGTAAAATGATCTTAGTTATACTTATATTTTTGTAATTTTATAAAACTATTAATTTATGATATTAGTTGGACAATATATTCACATAGAGATCTTATCAAGTTAATTTTGAAATCTATTCCAAGTAGGGACTATATAAAAAAAATTATCTCCTTTCAATGACGTGTAAAATTAGTATTTTCTATGTAGTATTTATAAATTTATCAAGAATTAATATAAAAAGTTTTACTGTCTATATGTTGTTGATGATTTCGGACGATTTCTACTATAGAAGCAAGAGCTGAACTTGAAGAAATGGTGCCAGCCTTTCATCCCTTTCGGTTTAAAGATCTGCCATTTACAGCTTATGGATCTATGGAGAGACTAGTGATACTTTACGAGAATGTAAGCAATAGATCTCCATCTTCTGGCATAATACACAACTCTTCGAATTGCTTAGAGAACTCATTCATATTAACTGCACAAGAAAAGTGGGGGATTCCAGTATACCCGGTTGGTCCACTTCATATGACCAATTCGGCAACGTCATGCCCGAGTTTATTTGAAGAAGAAAGAAACTGTCTTGAATGGCTTGAGAAGCAAGAAACAAACTCGGTGATCTACATAAGCATGGGGAGCTTGGCGATGACACAAGATATAGAGGCTGTGGAAATGGCCATGGGATTTGTCCAGAGTAATCAACCCTTCTTGTGGGTGATCCGACCTGGCTCTATAACCGGACAAGAATCTTTAGACTTCTTACCGGAACAGTTCATGCAAACGGTAACCGATGGAAGAGGTTTTGTAGTGAAATGGGCACCACAGAAAGAGGTGTTAAGGCATAGAGCAGTGGGAGGGTTTTGGAACCATTGTGGATGGAACTCGTGCTTGGAGAGCATAAGCAGTGGCGTACCAATGATTTGCAGGCCGTATTCTGGTGATCAAAGGGTGAATACTCGGCTTATGTCACATGTTTGGCAAACTGCGTTTGAGATCGAAGGTGAATTGGAAAGAGGAGCCGTTGAGATGGCCGTGAGGAGGCTCATTGTGGATCAGGAAGGTGAGGAGATGAGAGTGAGAGCCACCATATTAAAGGAGGAGGTTGAAGCTTCTGTCACAACCGAAGGCTCGTCTCACAATTCTTTAAACGATTTGGTCCAGGCAATAATGATGCAAATTGACCAACAATGATTAGTGGAAAATTTAATGTGTATGAAATCATGTGTGTAATGTTTTATTTTTAAACTAGAATTATGTGTGGCTAATATAAATATGGATGTGTGCAAGCATCCATATTTATTTTCTATTGAAAAAATAGGAAAAAAATAGCCAGCTACACGATGTCATCAATATTGTGATTATTTTAACCACGATTTAGTACGGTTTAAACAACAAAATATTATTATTATAAAAGAAAGTATATGAAAATTTTCCATTTTCTATTTTTCAATATTGAATATATGACCAATAATATTGGAAATTTCCAAGAATATTGAATCTTAAAGGTTGTGCTCCTTAGTAAGATAAATGCAGATCTCAATGAGCTTATACTTGATGATTTCCCTAGATAATATCGTGCAAGCTGCGATGTTGTCAACGACTATAATACCATCATGAACATCATCAAAATAACATATACATTTAGAAAAACAAACACAAATGATGAAAAGAAAGTTGAAAATGAAACACAAACAAACACAACAAGAGAATTCTCCACACCTCGGCGCACCGAGTATCAACTTTATTGGAAAGCTTTTAAGATGATTACACACTCTTAATTGGAGTTACACACAGCTTAATTAAGAACACCCTCTTAGCTTGCGGCCAAACGATTTCTAACCTAAAAAATGAACACACTTGTTCACCGTAATAGAGTAAACTCGTACTCTCTAAAATAGAAAAATCTATGAACTAGAATTCTTCTCTCATAAACAGCTAACCTGAGCAAGCACATATTCAATCCCTTTTATATTCGTGGGATTAAAAGATCTTCTAGGTTTCCTTTTTTTTCTTGATTTGCTCATATCTTCCAAATATTGTAGATCTTCGGCTGCACGAAACTTCTACATCAGCTGCATCAGCTGCCAATATCTTCATCAATATATTCAGTAGATCACTTGGTCCACGTCATCAATTAATGCTTCTTTAATGTTTAGTCTCACCAAAACAGCTTCTTTCTTGTTCCAGCAATTCTGAAACCTCAACACTCTTATCTTCTGCTCAGTCCCCACTGAAACCGCACTTACAGAAAACAACATGATTTAAAAGTTGATTATGTCGTTGACATTTTCATTGTTAATTAACATCGTTGGTCTTGTCACACGAACTTCAGTATTGGGTTGATATCGCATGGTTTTCCGTGGCAGTATTATTTTTAGATAGAGGCTTTTTAATTATTTTAGAATCTCTTTTTTTTTTTTTTTTTGTCAAACAATTATGTCAGGTAGCTGAGTATCTTTTAGTTTACTTAGCATGTGTGGCCATGTGTTCTGCAATACTTCATGTAGCTGGCAATCTTTTTTCCATCTCTAAAACGATTTAAATAGTGTTAAACTGTCCATTTTGATTTCATGAAAACACCAAATGTTAGGCTGTGTATCCTCAAAATACTGACTTGCATTGCGAATTGACATGATATCTCCTCAGATTAAATGGACCACGAGCTAAAAAAGTCATTATCGACCGCTAACTAGTGCGAATTAAAAATAAAATAAAAAATGAACCAAATGAGACTTCATAGCAAGGACCGATTTAATGAGAGCGGGAAACAAATGCTTGATTAGCTTCCTCTCAAGGTTGGCTTTGCTTCGGGTTTATGTTGTCATAGCCATCCACTGTGATGGTTAATGGCAGATTAACAACAAAAGCATCAATGAAATTGGAAAGTGCACGACCCGCTAAGAAAAAAAAAAAAAATTGCTAATTGAGTTCTTAAAATATGGGTTATAAACTTATAAACCCCATTAGTCGTTTGACATCTATTTGTTAATTCTTCTATTTCTGCCAACACCTAATTTGATAGGAATCTATCATGTTTCTATTTTTAGGGAAGAAACAAATAGTAAAAGATTGCTAAGAGTTAGAACATTAATTTTGTAAGATATTAGATGAAGTAACAAAAGTTTTCCTAATATAGATTAAGTTGACGGACACGGTGGTGAACCAATGAATTTTAACATCAATGATTAAAAAAGGTTTAACCAATCATTCCTCTATTGCTTCCTGCCACATCTATATTTGCATCACACGATCGTTCTTAAGCTAAAACCAAACCCCTTTCAATTTCAATCTAATTTCAATCATCCTCTTTTTTTTCCTCACCTCAGGAATTACTCAATTTAAAGTTGTAAATTTTTTTGAGGAGAACAAGAAGGTGGTAGTACCATTTTCACAATGTTTGCGGAAGCGGATAGCATTCCTAGGGCAAAATATGCCAATATGATGCATTCTGATCCGAATCTTTCCTCCACGATGACCAACCAAACAGAGGAAGAGTACGGTATACGGAATAGCAGTGCATCTGCGGTTGGCACGGGAATGTATGATAGAATGAGTTGTGAAGGCTCTCCAATGATGATGTCTCCTTGGAACCAAGCAACTCCATTTACTCAAACACAATGGTCTAGTGTAGAAGAAAATCTACCACAAAATGGCCTTATTGGCTCGCTTGTCCGTGAAGAAGGTCACATTTATTCATTAGCGGCGACGAAAGATCTTCTTTATACTGGTTCCGATAGCAAAAACATACGTGTGTGGAAGAATCTAAAGGAGTTCAGTGCATTCAAATGTAACAGTGGATTGGTAAAGGCCATTGTTATTTCAGGGGAGAAGATTTTCACAGGTCACCAAGATGGAAAGATTCGAGTTTGGAAAGTATCTCCTAAGAACCAGAGCTTGCACAAACGTTCTGGAACATTACCAACTTTGAAAGATATATTCAAGGCATCTCTTAAACCAAGAAATTATGTTGAGGTGAAGAAACACCGCACCGCTCTTTGGATCAAACACGCCGATGCTGTTTCATGTTTAAGCCTAAATGATGAACAAGGCTTGTTGTATTCTGCTTCATGGGACCGGACCATTAAGGTGTGGAGGATTGCTGATTCAAAATGTCTAGAATCAATCCCAGCTCATGATGATGCTGTAAACTCAGTGGTATCAACAACGGAAGCGATTGTTTTTTCTGGATCAGCCGATGGGACAGTCAAGGCATGGAAGAGAGACCAACAAGGAAAATACACAAAGCATACACTATTGCAAACATTAACAAAGCAAGAGAGTGCAGTCACAGCTTTGGCTGTAAGCAAGAATGGCGCAGCAGTGTACTTCGGTTCGAGTGATGGTTTGGTCAATTTTTGGGAGAGGGAGAAACAGTTGAACTACGGTGGCATTCTCAAGGGCCACAAGCTTGCTGTTCTTTGCCTAGAAGTGGCAGGGAGTCTTGTGTTTAGCGGATCTGCTGATAAGACAATATGTGTGTGGAAGAGAGATGGAAATATTCATACATGCCTCTCTGTACTAACAGGTCACACAGGTCCTGTAAAATGTTTGGCAGTAGAAGCAGATCGTGAAGCCTCAGAACGTCGAGACAAAAAATGGATTGTATATAGTGGAAGCTTGGATAAGTCAGTGAAAGTATGGGGAGTTTCAGAATCATTCATTGACATGAACCAGATGAGTATGATGCAACAGCAACAACAACATGTTATATCACATTCTGAACCTTTCATGTCTGATGGCAGTTTCTCTTCATCAGCTGGTGGAGCTAGCAGTCATCGAAGACACTAATCATGGTTTGTTATTTGCCTTTCAAAATACCAACTCTGTCTAAATTATTCATTTGTTTTATTGTTAAATTTGAATTAAAAAAAGAAAGAAAGAAACTTCTAGTTTTATGATGCAGTATTGTACAATATGGAGTTGAGTTTGAACTACTTCTTTTTTTGTTTATTATAAAGGTTTTTTGTAATTTTCTTGTATTTTGTGATGGAAACCTGTAACTCTTTCAAACTTGATAATAATTATTACTGTTGTAAACTCGAATAAGAGTTCATGCATTTCGTAAGCGTTTTCTTGCATTTTTTTAGTGTGGCTAATTCAATAACAAACAATCACTCAAGTTATATTTAAAATTAAGAAAATAAAAAATTTAGTTTACATGTCTTTTATTATATTATTGTACTAAAAATTAACCCGCGGTATACAGAGGAACAACTTTTGTTTCATACAATTTAAATTAGCATAATTCGAAATGTCTAATAATATTAGTGGTGTTAACTGTTAACAAGATAATTAAATGAGGATTTAACCTTATCAAAGCGTCGGATTAGTGATATTTTAATTTATTAATATCGATTCATACTCATCACGCCATATAACTTGTCTGGTAATATAACCGTCCCATGTAATTTTAATCTTTTTATATATTTAAATATATATTCATAATAATTTAAAATTTTTTAAAAGTTTAAAATTTACTATATCTAATTAAACTAAATAGTTTTTTCTTGGGTCAAAAAATAGTTCAACTAAGAAACTGAATTAAACCGTTTACAAATGTCTAAATTTAGATGCTTGTTCAGTTAAGCTTCTTCTCAATTCTGATTTTTATTCATTTTCGTCTTATTTATTATATGGTTCTGAATCATTATCTAAACATTTTAGCCGATGTGGAAAGTTGAACACACTTTTTTATTAACACTTTAATCTATATCCATTTGTTTTTTAAATTCGAATAACAATATATGCAGAAAAAAAATTAGACTTACAATAAATTTATGTATTATATGATGATTCAAAAATAAATAAAAAATAAATTAACAAAGAAAATAGGAGAATTATAATTTCAAATCTTAACAAAATCTTCTAAATATCTATATTATTCATTGTGCAACATTATGCAATCTTTTAATTTTGTTTGGTTATATGGATAGTAGAGAATTAATTGTTAAGTTGTTTGGATACATTTATAAAAAGTAATAGAATTTATTGTAAATATCTACTAAAACAAGTTATTCTCTAAAATGTACTTCAAAAATATTAGTATATATATATGTAAAAACATAAAAATAAATTTAAGCGGCATCAGTGTACACAAATTAAATTTGATTTTTAATATTTATTTCTCAATTCATATATAGAGAATTATGAATTATGATAGTATATAATATTGGAAAACGATTTGAGAAATTTAATAAATTTTGTATACTGATGCGGACATTGACGTTACTCCCCAAAATTGCTGAACTACATCTTGTACTACATCCTGTACCAGAAGTCCAAGAAGGTCCCATGACGCGTTCAAAGCCTAAACAACTCAAGAAAATGTTCAACTTAGCTATGCAAGACATTCTAAGCTCCCTAGAGCTGGAAGAAGGAAACTGGTCCATAACACCCCATACCGGATATGATCCAATAGCCGAAGAAAAGCTAGCTGAACGAACTACTCTCCCAAGTATGAAATCTTCTTTGAAAGGTCCAGAAGCCCCTAGAAGCCAAGAGATGACTTCGGAACTGTAAGAGACGCACGAGATAAGCTTCACTTCCAAGGGTGATCAAGAGTCAAGATAAGAACCAAGACACCAAGGACGTGGAAGAGCCCCAAGATACTGATAGAGTACACAAGAGGTATCTAGAAAGATCCCTACTTGAAGAAACCAACAACCAAACGAGCACAAGGAGTGATTCCTGGAGTGGATCAACGAGGACTTTGAAAAGATGACATGTGACATGTGTCTTCTTTCATGTGGGCCCAAATTTTCAATGTATTTCATAAAGAATTAAATAAATTTTGATTATTGATTAAAAAGATAAAATATAGGAAACAACAACATTTAATTTAATTTTTTCAATGATTATAAAAAGATAAAATATAGGAAATAACAACACTAAATTGGATACATTTTCTTTTCCTGAGTTTCCAATAAACTTATTAAAACTATATAAGATAGTATTTGTTTTTTTTTTTTATGCTATGTGGCATATTTTCCTATGATTTATTTTTATTTTTATTGCTATTATTAAAATACTGTGTATTATCATTTTAATAAATAATTTTAAATTAATTTCTCATAAACTAATTTTTTGTTAAATGTTTACTTCAAAATAACGTTAATAATGGAAAATATTGAAAAATACAACGACGTATAGTCAGGTATATCAAAAGAAAGTTTTTCTCTTATCCTATTATATTTACACCACTTGACATCTTTTTGGAAAAAAAATATTTATAAAAATATTATTTGGTTTTAACTACCAAATAAAATTAATTTTGCTTTAAATAAAAAAAATTGAAAGAAAAACAAAACGTATTGCTTAAATACATTGACTACAAATGTCATAAAATATCTTACACATTTTTGAAATAGAGAAAAAATTGTAAAAAAAACAAATTATATATACAGTAAAAAGTGGTCTCACCTTCTAACCAATAAAAAGAGCTCTATCACCATATCTATACTAGTATTTTTGAAGTACATTTTTTAGCAGGTGGGTTAAATTGTTATCTGACAAATTTGGTATCCGACCCGGTAAGAAATTTTCTTCAGAAATCTTATACTAGATAGTTCATATCTTTTTTGGATCGGATCAAAACATATCCGAAATTATGAACCGGATAATCCATATTTAAAAATATAGATATTTAGAAGATTTGGTGAAGATTTAGAATTACAATTCTCCTATAATCTTTGTTTGAACATTTTGAACTGTTTTGAAATACATAAAGTTAAAAAAAAATTAATTTTTGTTTGCGTATATTGGGATTCGAAATTTTTAAAACGGATATATATTACCCAATTGATGAAAAAGGTGTGTGTTCAATGTCCCATATCGGCTAAAATATTTAGATATTGATTCAGAATCATATTATAAATAAGATCAAAATGAATCCAAATCCAAATGAACAAGAAGCTCAACTTAATAAGCATCTAAATTTTAAAATTATATACCGTTTCATTTGTTTTTTTTTTAGTTTAAATGCTTAATTTTACCGGAAATGTTAAATTTTAAACTTTTAAAAAGTTTTTAATAATATAATTCATATCTTTAAAATCAATAATATTATGAACATTTGAACATATATAAAGAGTAACAATAACACGAGACGGGTTATATTGGTAGACAAGGTTATATAACGGGACGAGTTTTTAGTAAGTTTTGCATATTATAATTCATATATTTAAAATCAATAAAGTTTATAATATAAGACCATTTGAACATATATAAAGAGTTAAAATTACATGGAACGGTTATATTGCAGGACGGGGTTATATTGCACTAACACTTGTTTTAGTGCTATTTTGGGGGATTTTTTTTTTTTAAATTGTAGATAGTCTTACACATAAATATATGTTGATTGACATATGCTACCAGTGACAGGTCTCCTCTCGTGACCACACGATTTATTGAAACTAAACAAACCAACTTCTTTTCTATTACTTATGTTTTCGGCATTATAAATCTTGTTGCTATTGTTCTCAGACTTAGGTTGCAATCTCTTTTGATTTAGGGTTTTCATTTTGTGCTTGGTAATTTAAGTGTTTCTCGTTTGAGACATTATAGTTTCTGGGGAATTTACGTTTTCCTCCGGTTTATGTTTTCCGGGACTTTTCTTTCGTCCGCGGGCTTAGCTTTCCTCGTTTGGGCACTTGACTCCGGGGATAACTCTATTTTCCGCCGGCTTAAGTTTGTATTTCAAGTTTCATTTCATGTTTTCTATCAATAAAACCAGATGATCAAAAAAAAAATGTTGTCGGCATTATATGACAAAAGTAACATTTTATGGAAAAATAAATTTGAAACTTCCAATAAAAAAATCATTATAAATTGTTATAATTAAGGAACCCATAAAGAAAGGGAGGCAAAGTTTCTTCAAGATTGTGAGCAATATTTTCAATTCCAATTATATTATAAATAGACAAGTTTCTTTTATTCATGATACAAGTGAGTCTAAATGTTGTCCGCTCAACAACTTTTGTATTATCCATTTCATAACCTGGGCAAGTTTAACCTGAAAGTTTGATTTTATTGATACATCATGGTTTTTACAGTTTTTAACCATGGTATAATATTGTTTTAAAGTCTTTTTATTTTATTTTATATTCTAGTATTTTTAGGTTAATACACGAACGTGACCAATTTAGAGATTATGGATCATTTAAGAGCGAAACCGAAGTGTTGAGCTGAAGAATATAATCCGGAGCCAAACCATGGGATAAGTGTTGGGCTGAAGAAAATAATTTGGAGCCAAACCATGGGATAAGTGTCGGTCGACACCACCCCTGGTGTCGGTCGCCAGCGTTCTGGTGTCGGTCAACACCAATATCTGACGACAACTCGATTTCGCATGTCTTTGAAGTTATGAAAATTTGCAAAATCCCCCCAAAACTTTTTCCTATTTGCAAAACAGTCTCAGCACGTTTTAAGAACTTATAAATAGATTTTTAAGGTTTTGTTTAGACTTTGTGTTAGAATATGGAGTTTTAGGTTACAATGGGACAAGATTTTTAGTGAAGAGATGATCGGAAAAGAGAGTAAAGTCGGAGAGAAGATATCGGAGAGATTTGCGAAGAATGAGAGAGTTTTTGGGAAATATTATTTCTCTTTCTAAAGAATGTAACATATGCTTACATGTATATATGGACAGACCAAAAACGAATATGCCATTATATGCCAACAGGTTGAACTCGTGATAGTGACATGACCTAACGGTCATATGGCATAAGAGAACATGTGATTCTCTTTGTCTCTTTGTCTCTTTGTCTCTTGTCTTAAAAACGCAACGGTAGGATGGGGAATCTTCTAGATCTTCTAGAAGGCCTTTGGTCGAGACAAAAATCACATGGGCTCGATTTGGGTCGAGCATGTACGGAGGGGTAACTTTGGTCCGTACGGACCAGTAACGTTCTCTCGTACCGTGGGTAACTTTCTCTCGACCCGCGGGTAGCCTTCGGACAGTGTAAGGTCGACCAGGACATGACTTGAATAGTTTCTCTCGATCTGAACACTTCTTCTCTTGATTTTACTTGACCCAATTGGTTCCTTTTCTTCATCCGGTTCAATACTCTCCCTCAAGCTTAACCGAAGACAAGTGGAGGTTAAGCTTGAATCCAAATTCAACCACCTCTTTTAAAAACCTTAGTGTAGAAAACCTCATGGGACAAAACTACACTTAAGGAAAAAAGAATGTGGGATATTTGGCTAAGGGGATTGTGGCCGAGTAAGGTTAACGAGGCCTAGCTTTTGATGTATGTACTCACATACTTTGGTACTAGCCCTTTTGGTGAAGATATCGGCCAAATGTTTTTCACTCTCGGTATAATGTTGTAAGATCACTCCAAGGTGTGTTTGCTCTTGAAGCTTATGACAATCGACTTTAATATGTTTGGTTCTCTCATGGAACACCGAGTTGGCTGCTATGTGAATGGCGGCTTAATTGTCAAAATGCATTGTGATAGGTTATGGTGTGTCTATTCCTAAGTCTTTTAGGAGAGCTGATGCGTGTGATGTTTCGCTTCAATCTTTTACCTCAAATCTTTGGTTGGTATTTCGCTTCAATCTTTTACCTCAATCTTTGGTTGGTATTGCACAGTGAATCGTCTGTAGTATTTAAAGATCGAATCCCATAGACATTGAGGTTGCAGCACAAGTCTATGCAGAATAGGAATATGGCTAAGACGAAAAGATATTTGGTTGGTTTTGGAAACTATTTTGCAATTAAAAAGCAAAGAAAATAACATTAGAGATCAAGGGGTTCGAATAGGGTTTGAGGATCATTTTATTCAAGCATATTAAGGATCTTAGATATGTAACAATCGAATTCATACGAAAGGCGAATAAACGAAATAGCCTAGGTCCCTATACTCTATTACTCAACTTGCACATAGTTTGACACATTAAGATTTGACTCGCTAAGTACTCTAAGTCATGTTACTCAACAACACGAAGGATTGGTAACACTATGTATGAGGTTAGGTTTACCTTGTTAGAGCTCCTAACCTCTTGGATCAGCAGCCAGGTAGCGAACTTAACTATGGTGCATTAAGTAAAAGATGTCCCAAAAGAATTACTAAGAGAAAGTAACCCTAGATCTAGCAACCAAACGAATCATTACGATAATCCCATCAACAAAACCCTAGATCTATAACAAAGCAACTAAACGAATACGAAGAGATGAAAGCTAAGAGAAAAAGAAATCATAAATATAAATAGAGAAGTAATAGGGTTCAGAATACTCATCTATGAGATACAAAGAGAAGGATCCATCTCCCTTGAAGCAATAGAACGAAGAACAACAAAGAAACTATGAAAGAAAAGTGTTTAGATCTATGGTGAAAGTGAAAGAGAGAACTTGCGGCCAAGAGGCACTGTTCTTTGAAGAGAGGTGCGGCCAGAGGCCGACTTGTGTCTGAAGGTGTATTTATAGGTCTTCAAGTCTTCTAGGTCGGTTTAGGGTTTTTCCCAAGTCGAAATAAGTGAAACTACGTCGTTTTGGTAAAACCGGGTCAGAGGATGATTTGGATCGGTCACCACACCTTATGACCGGTCCCAGGAGTATCTTGACATCGGTCACGAACTTGGTGACCAGTGGGGCTGGCCCCTTTGCTCAGATCTTCATTCTCCTCTTGCTTCATCTATTGGCTCAATGGTTTAGTCTCATTCAACTTGGAGGTGAAAGGTGACTCTTTTATCTTTCCAACGACTCCAAGATCATCAAATTTGGAGCAGTGGAAGTTCCTCAATGGTCGCCATACATCTAATGCTCTAAATCTGTCCAGAAACGGGTTTTGCTCCTCTTTTCGTCTTTTTTACCCAAAAACTCATAAATCCTTCTTGAAGCACAAATACTTGAAAACAGCCTTGAAGTATCCAATACCTCTTTATTTTTCCATTGTAAACCTAATAAAAACATAGTAAAAGTGGGCGAAAATACGATGTTATCAACTCCCCCTGACTTAGACTTTGCTTGTCCTCAAGCAAACAAAAAAGAATAAATCCGGTTAAGAGGTTTGAAAATCGTGGGAATTATCCAATTATCAGTGACCGTATCTTGAATGCAATCTGCATACCACTTGAAAACAAAATTCACGTTAGAACATCCGCATAATCGTCTTACAACTTTCTCATCTTTGTCCATCTGCTTTGAACCTACATAAACTCTGAATTCCCGTCAATCAACTCTTTACATTCATTAAGTGTTTGGGGTGCGCTTTCCCATTAGAAGGTATCATTCAGGGTAGACTGCGCTTGGTATGAAAGGTGATATTTAGTGTTTTATGGTGGAGTTAAAGTGTTTAGGGTTACCGTAAAATCTCGAGAATGCAGGATATGCCGCAAAACAACAAGAGAGAACGGATCGGTTTGATGTCCATAGTTTCCAACCACTTCTTCTTGTAACACCTTCTTTCTCCTTTACTTCTCTTCTTTTAGATTCCCCCAGACTTGGATTTTCCTCTCGGGATCTCTGTGAATGTTCCAACTTCTCTTCATGAACCAAATCTTTCATTGGGATTTCCCTATGCTATGAGACTTCCTTTCGGTAATTGTTTCCTTTCCTTTCTTCTTCTCTTTCTTTTATTTTTTTTATTTTTTATGAAAGGGGCTTGACGATTGCTGCGACGGATTGGACGGGTGGAATGAGTGGTAAGGATCGTCTTTGGAATGTCCTGTGACCGATCTTGTTGTGCTTGGCAGCACCGGTCACGGGACGTGTGACAGGGCTGGTTACGTGACGCGGGACCGGTTACGGGTCGTACAACCGATCGTAGACCGTGCGGTCCGACTATGCAATCTTCAGCTCTCTCGCCATTCTTCAAATCTAGCCCGTTCATGGACTAGTTTTTCTCGATCATTTACTCTAAAATAAGCATGTTGCCGATGACTTTTGAATTCTATGTCAAATTTTGAACTTCAAACGATGGAATGCTTTGGGTACGGCTCCGCGGAGGGTGTTCTCGCATATCTCCCAAACTAAGCCGTAAGCGTTGTGGATGTAGGATTCACACTCGATTATCTTTAAGTATTTTTGTGGAGAAAAACTCTTGTAAAATCAGGAAATGAATATGAGAATTTGAAAAGGAAATCAACCAAGAAAAGAAATAAGGAAAAATTGATAAGGACGAAGTAAAAAATGCCTTGCGAAAGATAGTAAAGAGAGAAAAATGTATTGTATTGCTCAGAAGTAATGAATAATCCGATCTCTCACAAACACATGCGTTTGAGGTTGTTTTTATAGAGAAAACATGATCAATGCGGTCATTTACTGCTCATAACCGCATTGATCCGCATTAATCATGTAAGTTACATTTTGACCGAAACGGCTTGAATTTGAACTATCTTGGGCTTCGCGCGGATCTTCCGAACTCTTTCTTGTTGACTCCGAACTCCCGCATCTTGACGCTGCCGCGAACTTCGAACAATATTCTCCTCCCTTCGGCCTTTCTCTATGCGAACTGTATGTTGAATAAGAGCGAACTCCATACTGGTAAAGATGAGAAAGAAGCCCTTTTCTTCCCCTCGATTGAAAAAAGAGTAAACCCTAATTTCTCAAATTGCAGACCAAACACTATGAACCCTTGGAAGGGAAGCGTTTCTCTTTCGATTTGTACCAAGCTGAGGTTGGGTTTTCTTTTGTTTCTCTAAAGTTTCAAACTTTATTTTGTTTCTGGGTTGATTTTGTTGATGAAGTGGATATAAAGTTTTAAGATTTGATTGTTTAAATCTCATTTGCAGGTTAGTCATTGTTGGATTTGATTTCTAATAGATCTGCAAGGAGGTATTTCTCAAGGAGCTTGTAAGGTCAGTTACATGTATAGCTTATGAGAAGTTGAAGAATTTGCCATCACGGTCTCTTAGAAGAAGTTGGTTTTGTCTGAAATCGAGGAGAAGTTGAAGAACGCCATAGAGATTAATCACTTGGGTGAGTTTGTTACAAATTTCAATCCACCTGGAGAATAAAATAAGAAGTTTGTTCATCTGGGGAAGTGAATCATGCGAAAGAAAAAAACAATTGAGGAGATGTTAATTTCATTTATGTATCTGATTTTACCTTTAATATTTCAGGATTTGGAACTATTGACTTGTGAATTTTTCGATGTTATAGATTTCGTGAGGACTAATGTTTTAACTTTAATATTTGTTTGCAGATAGTATATTTGCCACGTTTCATTGTCATGGCCTATTATATTGCCGATTCGATGAGAAGCTTAACTATGGAAAGCGTTATGTTCTATTTGGGTTGTGGAAAGTTTGTAAAAAGTCTGTATTAGTTGCCAAGCTCATAAGAATTAAGTTCTAGCTACATCAAGTACTATTTAGACAAAAAGATTTTTTTTTGTAAATTATTATTACTATGTATTTTGATTACTTTTTGTCTTTCTAATTTAAAATATGAATTTGGAATTTAAAATTTAAAATTTAAAATTCAAAATTCAAAATCTGAATCTGTGATGAATGATAAAATTAATAGCAAATTTGAAGTGCTATTGTAAAATATACAATTGCAGTTAAGAAACCGCTATATTAAATGACGATACAATAGCAATATAAAAAACTGCTATCTAATGTGTCGGACCTATTGTCGCAGGCGATGACAGAGCGTTTCTTAAACCTCTATCGTTTTAATATATAGCGTTTTTCGGACGCTATTAATAATCGTTTTTCTTGTAGTGTCTAACTTAGTGAACCATAACAGAGCCGGTCCGGAAAGATTCTCGGAAAATAATTTGCAAAATCCGGCATCTTCCTCGCCTGGTTCTAGATCAATTCTGCCTACAGCGATATGAAAAGCAGCGAGGTGATTTTTAGGATCTCATTTACCATCGTAAGTTGGTAATTTAACCTTTCGAGAATCTTTGATCCGAAGGTTCGAGATTCTCGAGGTAAAGGGCGTTCGACGAGTTTCTTCGATTACTCGATCGATCTCAGGCGCCGAACTGGTAGCCTAATGAAATTTCGACTTCATTTCATTAAGCTCTTAGCGAACTTTGTTGAAATCGTCTGATAGGGCGACATCAGGATCTTCTATATAAAATCCGTCGTCAACAGGAAGATTTCCCTGTCCCTGGGGAATTTCTTCCCCGGTTGGGTTAGTCGCATCCCCTATGGCTGCCGGATTGCTAGTGCTTGCTGGCTGGCCTCCTGGAGGAGTTTGAGTAATCCCGGGAGTCGCGAATAACCTGCGCTAACGCGTTGTTGTTTGCGCTGAGGACAAATGATCTAAACGGCTTGAAACAGCGTTCTGCGCGTTTGACAAATTTGTCTGGGTGGTTTGAACACTTGTTAAGGTTTGCTCGATTGAGTTCAACCTTTCACCAAAGGTGGTGTTGGCAGTAACAAGTGTACCCATCTGATTGGTCAGATCGGTGGTTGTCTGAGTAAGCAAAGCAATTGCATCGCTCAATGCTTGCTGATCAGCCATAGTTTCTTGGTTGGGAAAGAAAGATTTTGAGATTAAAGAGTTTTGTGGTAACTCCCCACAGGCGGCGCCAAAATGTGGATGTAGGATTCACACTCGATTATCTTTAAGTATTTTTGTGGAGAAAAACTCTTGTAAAATCATGAATTGAATATGAGAATTTGAAAAGGAAATCAACCAAGAAAAAATATGAGGAAAAATTGATAAGGACGAAGTACAAAATGCCTTGCGAAAGATAGTAAAGAGAGAAAAATGTATTGTATTGCTCAGAAGTAATGAATAATCCGATCTCTCATAAACACATGCGTTTGAGGTTGTTTTTATAGAGAAAACATGATCAATGCGGTCATTTACTGCTCATAATCGCATTGATCCGCATTAATCATGTAAGTTACATTTTGACAGAAACGGCTTGAATTTGAACTATCTTGGGCTTCGCGCGGATCTTCCGAACTCTTTCTTGTTGACTCCGAACTCCCGCGTCTTGACGCTGCCGCGAACCTCAAACAATATTCTCCTCGCTTCGGCCTTTCTCTATGCGAACTATATGTTGAATAAGAGCGAACTCCGTACTGGTAAAGATCGAACTCTTTAGTAAACCGAATCGAACTCCCGACTGGTTAAGCTTGATTCTCATAATAAAATATCTTTAACTCCAAGAGGATTATTAGGTAATAATGACGTGGACAGATCCAAGTGGATCCTACCGAAAATGTGTGGGATCCGACCCCAAAAAGCGTCCGTGTTTCTTTCGATCAATGCCTCTAGAATAGGCATGTTTCTTGCGGATTTCCAATCCCAAGCATTTTTTTCAAAGTCAATCGCATATCATAAAGTAATGATCGTATCTCGTATCTCGTATCTTTTGTCGATATCTTCCAAACTAACCCGATCTATGACTTGTTCTTCTCGTCCATTCTCTCAAAAATGTCTACTTTCTTGTTGAATTTCAGATCCCAAGTCAATTCAGTAAAGTTGAATTCAGCGGTATGGCGAAGGCTTCTTAGACGGCTTCTTGACATATCTCCTAATCTAGTCCGGTTCCAAGCATTTTTTTCTAGATCATATGTCCTGGAATAGCCATAAAATTGGTGAGTTTTGAATCTCCGGAGATTCGGACGATGTCGAGTTTCATCATCTGGTAAGGCTCGGTTTGACTTGATGGTGATATCTCGCATATGGCTCCTTCCTTGATGGTGATATCTCGCAAATGACTCCTCATCAAATACCCATAATGACGGTGAATTCCAATTTTCAGCTCATTGGGTCGGATAGAATTGCAAAACGGACGTGGTGGTGGCATTGTGGTATGGTTATGGCCGGGCGGATCGATCTGCAGTACGTACGCGATACGGTGCGGGTCAATCATCTTGAATATTTCGTGGGTCGATGCACGGTACATGGGTGGGTCGTGCACGAACGGACAGATGGTCGATGTTTGTATGATCCGTGGATTCGACACGGTGGGGACTCTTGGCATTGATCGTTGATGTGAGTCAAATTAAAACCTAAGACTACTCTCTCAAATAAGAGATCGTGTGTAGCACTTTAGGGTCGAATTCCACAAAGTTCTCGTATTCACACAATAGACTAACATGGTTCGAATTAAGCTAAACGAGAAATTAAGTAAATTAAAAGACAAGAAAGCAATTAAAATCGGTTGTAAAATCAGATGAGGAAAACGTCAGGCTTAGAGATTTCTCAGGAAATAAACTAATAGTAAATCCAGCAAATTAATTAGGATTATTAATGAACCGTTCTAGAACTCAAAACACTAATGAATAGCTAACCACCTCTCGATGCGCTAACTAACTAATCTAATATCAGTAATTCCACCTCTCGATGCGAATTCCTAGATCTAGACTAGCATTAAACTCAAGTTTGATATGTTCACAAATTCTCCTAGACCAACTCTCGATGCAACTAGAAATATTTGCTCATCTAAGGTAGTTCCAGTAATAGATGCCCTCTCGGATCAAATACCTATTATCCTAAGATCAAATTCTAGGTGATCAAGCTAGAATTAGCATTAAGAACAACTTAAGTTGAAGAACTCTATAGATTAATCCTAATAGGTAATCGATTTACTAGTTCATCTAAATCCATAACGAGAATCCCTAAACCTAACAAGGTGATTACTTAGACATGATCAAAGGAACACAGGTAATCGATTTACTAGTTCATCTGAATCCCTAACGAGAATCCCTAAACCTAACAAGGTGATTACTCAGACATGATCAAAGGAGCACAAATCATAATCTGAATAAGAAACAAGATCATAGTTCCTTGTGAAGCTGAAACTACTGCTATTCTGAAACGGTTGCTGGAACTGAGACTTCTGAATGTAGCTAGTCGGACTATTCCCATAGAAACCTTTGTACCCTTGTTTTTTTTTGAAATCTCTGATTTTGAAAACCTCTTCCACCAACATAATCGACATCCTCCAAAAGTAGATTGTGGACTGCGTCAAGCTTAGCCATTAACCCAGCAATCTTACTCTCGTTCATGTTCTTTGCCTGTTTCCGGTTATGCGATTAGACAAACATCTGAAACACACAAGAAAAAGAAGAGAGAAAGCGTTAGTAAAAGAAAAGAAAAAGAAAACAAAAGCTTAGACTAAATTCTAATCCTAATCTAATGGTGAAGCGAAGAAAACTTCGGCAACGGCGCCAAATTTGATGTGAGTCAAATTAAAACCTAAGACTACTCTCTCAAATAAGAGATCGTGTGTAGCACTCTAGGGTCGAATTCCACAAATTTCTCGTGTTCACATAATAGACTAACAGGGTTCGAATTAAGCTAAACGAGAAATTAAGTAAATTAAAAGATAAGAAAGCAATTAAAATCGGTTGTAAATTCAGATGAGGAAAACGTCAGGCTTAGAGATTTCTCAGGAAATAAACTAATAGTAAATCTAGCAAATTAGTTAGGATTATTAACGAACCGTTCTAGAACTCAAAACACTAATGAATATCTAACCACCTCTCGATGCGCTAACTAACTAATCTAATATCAGTAATTCCACCTCTCGATGCGAATTCCTGGATCTAGACTAGCATTAAACTCAAGTTTGATATGTTCACAAATTCTCCTAGACCAACTCTCGATGCATCTAGAAATATTTGCTCATCTAAGGTAGTTCCAGTAACAGGTGCCCTCTCGGATCAAATACCTATTATCCAAAGATCAAATTCTAGGTGATCAAGCTAGAATTAGCATTAAGAACAACCTAAGTTGAAGAACTCTATAGATTAATCCTAACAGGTAATCGATTTACTAGTTCATCTAAATCCCTAACGAGAATCTCTAAACCTAACAAGGTGATTACTCAGACATGATCAAACGAGCACAAATCATAATCTGAATAAATAATCAATAATGAATATATCAAGAGAAAGAGTTAGAAAGATCTTCTCTAAAGGGAGTCTCCACAGGATTTTGCTCCTAAATACAAAAGAGAAAAGGAGAATAGCCTTTCCAAGCTTAGGTCTAAACAATGACCTTAAATATATATATATATATATAACTTCTAAAAACGTGCAAGAACTTCTTTGAAAATAGTGAGAAGTTTTGGGGCGTATATGCAAATCTTTATAACTTCAAAAACTCGCGAAATTGAATTGCCGTTAGATCTTGGTGTTGACCGACACCAGGGGTGGTGTCGATCGACACCTACACATATTTTTGTCTCCGGATTGCTCGCGCAGCATAACTTCTCGGTTTTGCTCAAGAATGATCTAAAATCTCCAAATTGGTCTCGAACGTGTATAAACCTGAAAAGACTTAAAAAGACACTAGAAACAACAAAAAGACTCTAAAAACAATACATATATCACGGCTAAAATCGGTAAAATACGTGATATATCAATCGTTGGCAGCTCGATCAATCCATCGCCTTCGGCGTGCTTCGGACATCTTGGAGGATGGTCGGAGTTGTGATTCTTCTTTC